ATAAAACACATAGCATTTATAGCCACTTCTCTTCAAAGTCTCAAAAGCTCATGGGAATAGAATTTTAAATCTAAATACAGTGAACCATTTATCATAAAATTTCCTTTCCCCTTTGGAAGTAGTCTATTGTGGACCACAGGAATAAGCCCTCTTCCATTTAAAATTGTATTGCCACATTTTAAATATTTCCTAGATTTTTTGGGGTGGGGTAGGGTGGGGAGCAGGGGTGGGCTTCTACCGGTTCAGACTGGTTCGGGCAAACCTGTAGCTCTGAAGATCATCTGGGAGTGAACCGATTTGCTCCCATGAGCAAGTGGGCCCGCCCCCTACCCCGCCCCCCACCCCAGTGCTTTATCTACCTTTATCTTCTCAGCTGAGTCACATGGCAGAGTGGATTGCTGCGCCTCAGCTGTTTTCCTTCCCTAACAGCAGTCCAGAAGGTAAGTATTCTCTGAACTGTGCATGCGCGCGCAGTGCATGCCCTGGGGCACGGGCAAGCAAAGCAAGTGTGTGTGCGCAAAGCACATGCTCAGTGAACCGGTTATTAAACCGGTAGGATCCCACCTCTGGTAGGGAGGTATTGCCATCAAATTAGTCTAGATTTATCACCTTGGGTGGCCACAGCCCTTGCATTTTTAATTTTGGTTTAAAGTTTGAAGAAATTGAAAAACTCAACTATGCTTGGCAAATAGTTTCTCCTGATATTTTCTCAGATTTAAAATATTGTAAATATGACAAAATGTCCCACATTTCAAAGTTAAGCCTTGAATATGAAATAAAACCCTCCACACCCCATTTCTTGCTTGCTTCAACATCAGGGTCTATCAACTTGCTTCTAACACTCTGGCATCTTTCAATTGGTTTGTTATAGGCTTTTATAAAATTCATAGCGCCATGATGCTATGTTACCTAATAAAATAGCAAGCATCATTTTATCACCAGTGTCACTGAAGATGAGCAAGGATGATGGAGAGTCAGTTAAGGACAAAGCTATTATGCTTTAAGAAAAACACTGTTATCAGCTTGGTAGGGAAGGTGCTTTAAATTCCTTGCTACAGGGAAGTTACAGTTTATGCGTTTTAATGTAACGCCGTCCCTATGTGTTGCGCTTTCTTGAATTATGTTTACTTGGCCTCTTTGTTGAGAGATGTTTCTTTTGGGTAAGACTGATAAAAGGTATACTATGCACAAAATTAATGAGGACATATGATGCTGCTTTATATTGTTCATGGACCATATTATCGCGATGAGTTTACCACTGTTGCTTCTGTTGTGTTCATTTTGTCAAGGCAGATCAGGTTGTAGAGGATCCTTAAATGTTGTTTTATTGTTGCTAGGAGAATTTAAAATTGCTTATGGCTTTCTTTAACCATTTTGTATATCTTTTGTGGGCTAAATAATAATGTTCTACATGTGCTTTTTGTAGTTGGTTTAGTACTAAACCAGCAGTGTCAAACACAAGACCTGCGGTTGGATCCGGCCCACAGGATGTTTAAATCTGGCCTGCAGGAAATATCAAAGGACCGGCTCATGGTGCCTCTGCCCGCCAAAATGGGCCATGGGGGGGGTGGGGAGGCACATGCGGACTTTCCATGGCCTTCATTTTGGGCTGGCGGAGTGCTGCTGGAGGCCAGGGATACCAAAAATGGGCCACGGGGGGCGGGGAACATGCAGCCCCTGCACGGCCTCCGTTTTGGGTTGGTAGAGTGCTGCAAGAGGACTTTATTACAATTATATGGCCTCAAGTAATTGCCTGATCTGGATAGAAAACAAGCAACATCCTATGATAATACTATAATTTAATGCCAGATTTTACATACTGTAGGTCCATTTAATCTACAATCCATAATCTATAATTGACAGCCATTTCTATTTACTATTGTGGAAATTTACCTCTGCTGTTATAGCTCGTATTATCATGTTATTTATGCTATTTAGTTGAATAATAAAAATGCAATAATATAAATAGCTTTTCTGCATGGAAAAGCAATTTACTATTAAACAATGGGGTATAAATTTAGAAATAAAAAGTTTAGTGGGGTATGAAGAATAAGTAATAAATGTTTGCCAGTAATATCTGCTAGAAGAGATAGGAAAATGATTATAGTAAAGAACTGTGGAAAGAAAGAAGAGAAGGGGAAAAATGCATCTTGAGCCTGTGTCAAATGCCCACCTTGGCCATGCCCACCATGCCCATGCTCATCATGCCCACTGCCCTCCGAGGTCAAACACAACCCTTATGAGGCCCTCAATGAAATTGAGTTTGATACCCCTGAACTAAACAAATAACAATGGAGGAACAAGGGTTGTTAATATTATTTGGTATGGTGGATCACTCAAAATGTTTGAATTTTGTAGTACAGAAATAAGGAATTCTCAGAAGTTTGTCAAGTGAAGGCATTTTCCTTCAAATTCTGAACATTTTTTTAAAATCCATTTTATGTACCTTTTTAAATTTTCTTTGCCTCGGTGGTATTTTAAAGTGTGGGAAATAGCATTATCTAAAAAATAGCAAATCAGAAACAGTTTTAAAGACCCCATCAATTAATAATTATTTTACTATTATTGTTATTATTTGTATTATTCATATATATTTTTCTTTACCATTGCCTTAAAAATGGTTTTCTTGTTATCAATATAAAGTTCAGAAATTCAAAAGATATGAATATACTCTACAGGTTTTTTGTTGTTATTGTTAAATTAGATTTCTATTTTTCCTAAATGATTCTATTATTAGCAATGGTAGTGGTTATCATATTGGTAAGTAGTAATAATAGTAATGGTATTTTTATTCTGCCTGAGTTCTTGAAGGCAAGGTAAGATCACAGTCAACTGATGCAACAAATAAATAGAAATACAAATTTAATATTCTGAAAGTCCTTAATGCTTAATACTAATGGTTTATCAGTATCAATAAAACAAATACTTTTGTTATGACCATGATATCTACATGCCTATTGAAAAAAAAAACCTAATAATCATATTAGCAAAATTACACTGTAATTCAGTATTCTGAATATTTCAGTTTGAGACAGGGGGAGAAAGCTCTTCATTTCTGCCCTCTGCTTCTATACCTTTATTTGTTCATCTAATTTCAGTCTCTACTAATGCCTGTATGTTCATTCCATGACCTATCTTCATCTTTCTGACATTACTTCCTTCTTTTTTCCCTCACCACCCATCACCAAAATAAGAGGAGGGGTACAGGCAGTGGTGGGATTCAAATAATTTAACAACCAGTTCACTGCCCTAATGATTTCTTCCAAGAATCAGTTCACCAAACTGCTCAGAAAGTTAACAAGCGGTTCTCCCGAAGTGGTACAAACTGGCTGAATCCCAACACTGGATATAGGGAAAGTATGGGTGGCATGCTTTTAAATTTAGCTAAGTCTGCAAGTTGCCCAGCTAGATTAGATCAGATTAATATGCATCTGATTATTGTATCTGGGCAATTTGTAGTCTTAGCTAAATTTTAAAGCATGCCACCCATACCTTCTCTATGTAGGTTCAGGAGAAAAATAGATGTATTCCTGATCCTCTCTCTGTTCAACTGAGCTGACGAAGTATTTTATTAACCCAAGGACTTGCCTGAAGCTATTATTCTTTGATGTCCTTTAGCTAAATCTCAGGAAGATAGTCCATCAAATTTATATATACATTGGCTCTTGGAAAAGTGCTATGCTCACAAATGCAGGAGAGCCAAAATACATCTTCTAAATCATTTTTGAAGAATTCAGAAGCTTCAAAATAGTATATATATTATTTGTGTTATATATGCCCTTTTAATTTACCCTCTTTTTCTACACTATTTTGCCCCTTTTTCTTAAGTTTCTGATCTAAGACTGATAAAGTTATGAATAGGGAGCCCAAGAACAGCCATTTCAGACTGATCCCACTGACAATCACAAGCTGATTGATCATATGAATCAATCAATTTACATCAAAATTCATGAACAAATTGAATATTAATGTGCTACATTGTATAACAAATATAGTACTGATACTTGTCCCTCCATTTCTCTCAAATGTGTGAAGCATTCTCGGAGTCCTTTCAGATTTTTAAAAATGCTCATAAACTTATTTTATCACCATCAAGTATAGAGGATCCAGGTACATCCTGTTTTTTCTGCTACCTGTCTGTGCACCCTTCCTAATTACAGTTTTTTTGACCATAGAAAAGCTTAAGAGGAAGAGATCATTTAAAGCAGGGGTGTCAAAATTGATTTCATTGAGGGCTGCATCGGGGTTGTATTTGATCTAGGGGTGGGGGGTGGAGAGGGGTGACCAGCTCACCATCATTCATGTGGTAGCCTGAATGCTCTGCCAGTGAAAACAGACTCCCAAGCTTCGTTTTCATCTGCAACAGCCCCCTACAACCGTTTGCCAGGAAACATGGGCTCTCGAGCTCTGTTTTCAGCTGCAACGGCCTCCTGCAATGCTCTGCCAGTGAAAACAGGATCCCAAGCTCCATTTTTGGCTGTGGCAGCCTCCTACAAACCTCTTCCAGCAAAAACAGAGTTCGGGAGGGCCACATGATGCCCTCCCAAGTTCCGTTTTCGTTGTCAGAAGCACCGGGGCCAGTCCTTCACCTTTTTCCAGGGTGGCCCCACGGGCCAGATCTAAGCACCCCCGCAGGCCAATCCGGCCTTGAGTTTGACACCCTTAATTTAATGTGTCTTCCCTGGGGACTGAATTGCACCAGGGGAAGTCAGTGATCCTGCCAAGTGCCAGAGAGTGTTTTGTACAATAAAAGCAACATGTTTTTTACACAATTTAGGACATATTCTAAATAAGGAAAGTGCAGGGACATTGATAATCATTTCATGAATGTCTTTCCAGCTACATTTCATTTTCATTAAATTGAAGAATGGTTTTAAAAAGGCAAAACAAACTTGAGCATGCTAGTCGTAAGCCAGTCTCAACTCAATGCAGTTCAAAATTAAGAGAGGAGAGTTTAAAAAGTCATTCAACAACCGCCTTTTAAAAATTTTATTTGACAGTGATTCCAGAATTTATCACTCAAGTCAACACTGCACTGGAAAATCTAAGCAGGAATATGATTCATCTGTTTGATGATAATCAATTTGTTGACATCTCTAAGAAGATTTACGACACAGTTCATGACATTAGATGTTCAGTTATGATGATTCGGGTAAGTGTTTCATTCTTTCATTCATTTCTAATTAAAAGATGTGTCATTAATATTGCTATGCAACATTAATATGGGCAGAAACTAAACACAAATAATATGGAAATAGAAATTTCAGGGGTACTTTTTTCAGTATAATAAAAAGTATTAGAATGCTGCTGAATAAAACCATATTATTGCATCATGGACCTACTATACCTACTACAGGTAAAAGAAATGCACTGTAAGTTTCTTCCCTATGTCTCAGGACTTTTCTTGTTTCTTTAAAGATATACTGTAAATAAATAATGATGGAAAATAGCACTTTAGACTAAATGTATCCTTATTTCTAAATACTCCCCACATGCAATCTCTCTGGGTACGGCAGATGCTATCCTGCCCTTATAATAAAATATAAGTCTATCACTGGGATTCAAATATCCACAGGCCTGGGCCAGAGCTGTATTCAGGTTCACTCCCCGCAGCATGGTGCTTAAATCTGAAAATTGGTGAAACTCTTCTCTGATGTCCCAAAGATGCTTTTTCAAGAAGCAGCTGGACTTTCGGGGGTTTTTCTTTAAAGATATTTTGCTTCTCACCCAAGAAGCTTCTCCAGCTCTTGAAGCTTCTTCAGTTCTTCAGAGCTGAAGAAGCTTCTTGAATGAGAAGCGAAATGTCTTCAAAGAAAAACCAGAAAGTCCAGTTGCCTCTTGAAAAAGCATCTTTGGGACAACCATGAGCTGGATGACTGAGAATCTCCATGGACACTCTTCTCTGATCTACACTGAAAGACAAACTGGTGGGGCTACATTAAGGTAAACAGAATCCGAGTCCAAGAAGAGTCTGAGGTAAACAGGATCCGAATACTTCCCATGCAGCCATTTATTTGAAAGCAGGCTCCTATTCCATCCTTCTGTTTCATTTCACAGAAAGCAAAGGCCGCGTGCAGCAAAGAAACAGCTAAACCTTAAAATGAGAAGCTTGCTGTTTTCGGGAAAACAGGGTACTTCACTTCTCATTGCTGCTCTCTTTTGTCACCTATAATCTCCCCTCATGGGTGTTCCATTTTCTATTCATGGTTCTGTCTTTTGGGTGCTATTTTCAGGTGCTCTGTTTTTTCATGGTTTTTTTCCTTCTTTTTCTTGCACAAGCACATAATTTATTAGATGCCACTGCAACAACTTACCACAAATACAGAATGCCATTGTCTTGCTCCTGCCAATTTACCGATTAGTCATCCTCTGCAGCAGTGCTCCTCAACCTTGACAACTTGAAAATGTGTGGACTTCAACTCCCAGAATTTCCCAGCCAGCATGCTGGGAGTTGGAATCTACACATCTCCCAAGTTGCTCAATGGGGAAACACTTTCTACAGTTTGTTTGGGCAGCCGTGGATTAGTAAGGAAGAACAGCAGTTGGCTTTAAGGCAGAGATGCTGGATACCTGAGGAAGCCATATTTGAATCTTTGAATCCAATAGATTCAGTGCTAGAAGTGAGTCCTTTGATTTTTATATGCAAATTACTTAAAGATGATAGGCAAGTTTAGTATGTTATTCATGCTTATAAAAGCTTTTTAGAAGTTTTATAGAAAAGTAGATTCTTGCCTGTACATCAAAAAACCAAATTATTTGCTAACTGACACATTCCTTTCAAGTATTGCACCCACATGAACGTAGTCAATGCAGAGGGAACACTTTTATTATTAAAGGAGCAAATTCATCAATGCATATTTCTAAGTAATGTCGACTTTCATCTCTGGAAAGAAAAACAAATTTTCCTTCTAAGAAACACATTTTAATTTTATTAGCATACTATACAATGGCAATATATATATATA